GAGATGCCTTCAAATGAAGTGGGATTGGGACAGCACAGTCATTCCCCAAAACAAAGGTGGATTAGTACAGAACAGCAGGATGGGAGAAAAGCCCTAAATTTAAACAAAAACTAAACCCACCAATAGTTCTGTATCTCCAAAAAACAAAATTCCTTTTTTAATATGCAATTAAATGCAATTCCTCTACAGTCATGGTGAAGGTCTTCCTTCCTTCCTTCCTTCCTTCCTCTGCTGAGGAAAGGAAGATTGTTAAACAGATCCATGGCTTAGTTTAATTTCATTCAGTTTCTAATAAAAACCATCTTGCTGTAATCTACCATTCAGCCAGAGCCAACCCAAATTGAAATGGACTCAGCAAGAAGCCCTTGAGAGAGAGAAAGGAACCCTCCACATACCTGGCTGTGGTGATACCATCTTGATGGTTTCATAGGAAGGACCAGCCCCTTTATAGTCAGTCAATTAGGTTAAGTCCTCAATGACTCAAACTCCCTCAGCAATAGCTGAGATCCTCTCCAAACCATGGGAAGCGTTGATCTGCTCATACTAGTAAGGATGGTTACAATCCTTCAAAACAAGAATTCCCTGAGTAGGACAGCAAAGGCTTGACCTCAGCAGCTGCACTTTTTGTGGTCACCTGTCTGTCATGCATCACCCTGCAGTTTCAATTACACAGACTCGCTGGAAGCAGCAAATATTCAGCGCTGTATACCTGTAAAAAAGAACAACTGTGTAATTGCCTCAAAACCAAAGGAGACCTGTAAACAAAGTAACTTTTAAAGATTACTTTCCCAATAATTGTTTAAATGTAAATACATTTTTAGGGGAGTGAAAGTGAAGCAAAATGTTCCTATACAAGATTACTTCTAGAAAAGGCTCTGACCAGCACTTTCTGTATATGAACCTGAACAAGCTGTTTCCTCCTGCACTCACTCAAATGAGGGTCCAATGCCTCTGGACTGAAGAGCAGGGGAGATTACATGTCAGAGGAGGAGCTGGAATGCAGCTCTCCCTGAGAAGTGAGGAGGACAGTGAACCTAGACATGGGACTAGTCAAAAGTAAAGTATTTCTGAAGAGCCTAACATATGCAGAGGGCTGGCTGTGGTATTGCCAGTGGCCACTGTGCCGCTGGACTCTCCAGAAAATGGGATCTGAGCCCTCGAAGCTTCTTACATACTTCAGAGAGAGGAAGAGTCACCCTAAACCTTTGAGTTTGCCCCATAACTTTAAAATCTTGATATATTTCTGTCTTCTTGGGCACTTATGTGTTTTCTTCTTATTCCACACCTTCCCTGGAGACTCACTCACACACAACTGGTGCAGCAGCTATAGGAACTGATACCTGCCAGCTTCCAGCTGAGTGGCTCAGACACTGGGCACAGCTTCACTGCAGACTCCACACAGGTTAATTGCTTGAGTAGACACTCAGCTTCTCAGGCAGGTTCTGCAGTCCACACTGTTGCACCGTGCCAGCAGGAAGAGCTGCAGTGCAGGTGTGCCATGCTTACACCCACGGCTGGGAGGAGAACTGTGCACTGGAGGAGTGAACCCACACAGATACCAACACCACCAACCACCTGCAGCAATGTCAGCATAGCAAGAGTCACCCCACACACAGGTGGGGTCAGCCTGATTCATCTGCTGTGGACCTCAGCTAGTATTTCTGTAATTTGGCAGTAAGACACTACTGATGTCTGACCCAGAAATTACCAGTTTACTTAAAACCACAAAAGTGGGAGGTAAGTTTGATTGTTCTTTCTGACAACAATTTTCCAGAGCTGAAGTCTTGTAGACACTGATCCCAAAATACCATGAGCCCAAGGTCTTCAACAAAAGAGTTTTCTCCTGTTGATGAACAACAAAGATTCACTTGCTGGGGGCCAATACAAGCACATTCCCACGTTTCCATCATACAAACTCTTTGGGATATTCATCAGAAGTATTTAGAATAAGCACCACCATGAAGCAGTTTTTCTAGAGTTTACAAATACCAGTGTTGACTGTTTATACCCCCAATTCTGTCCTCTGCTGTCGCTGTAGGACATGAATGCAAAAGGCCTGGTCACCCAGCAAACAAAGGATACTGACTGGAGAAATGCCAGGGAAATTAAAAGGTTTTATATCCATTGCAAGAACATTTGAGTCACTTGGCCTACTAAAAATGTTTTGAGGTGCATTCACTGTTGATTGCATTTTGTTTTCCAGGCTCACTGCCACTACATCACAGTGAAAAACTTTGCAGAAACTGTGGAAAAACTCGAGACCAAGGCTGGCATCCAGAAGATTATGAAACATCTCTGTGACCTCTTTGCACTACACGGGATCTTCTCAAATACAGGAGCCTTCCTGCATGATGGATACATATCTGCAGCTCAAATGGACATGGTCACATCATCCTACCTGGACCTCCTGGCCATCATTCGGTGAGCTGCTCTGGCAGGAGACACACAGCTAGCTATACAGTTTGTTCCTGTGATAGATATAAAATGGTTCTGCTGTACCTATGGCAACATCTCCACAGTCAATTCACCTCATTCCATTTTTATTTTCATTGCCTGGCAGCACTAGAAATTGATTGAAACATCTACAGAGAGTTTGTTTTCACAGCAAAACAGACACAAGTGTCCAGCTCCTCTGCAATCTCTAACTTAAAAGTTCTGTAACATGAAAACTTAAATTATAAATTAAGAAGTCATGCACATTTTCTACCATTTGCAGTAGACTGAAGGCAGGAAAATATGTAGTCAGAGCAGCACTGGCAGGAGGCAGCCACAGCAACCCATCACACATTGCAAAATCTGTTTAAGCCGCAGCTAATACAGCCTCAGCCTACTCTGTTGCCATGGCTGAGCTGCAACTGGTACCCAAACAATCCTGCCCACAGATACTTCAGATGCATCTGCTCGACACCATTTATCACTCACTCTTTGAATTCTGAGCTAAGCTAAGGTTTTCACTTACCACAACACTAGCAAAGGCCTTTTGACAAAGGATTCATCTTTCACTACTCAGTGCTTGTTTAGAACAGATAAACTTACGGTCCAGAGAAGTGAGTTGCTACTGTATGTAAAATTCTACTTAAGCCACCTGGAGAGAAACAACAACACTCCATTAGCAAGGGCTGAACAGGGCTGAGCCAAACAGCAAGGGTTTGCAGAACTGGTTGCAGAATCCAAGTGAAAGGATACAAACATTTCCTGGTGTGTAGCAATATGTCAGCCTTTCCCAACCCCCCAGACAGCCCTTACCCAAAAGGAATTGGAAGATGCCAATGCCAACATTTGAGCAAACCACTTTGCATCCTGGTACCTCAGGAGTGAGGTACAGCCAGCACAACTTCCTACACCCAGGACAGTGGGAGGACACAGGAAAAGAAAGATGGATGAGATGCTGCCTATGCTGTAGCTCTCCATTGCTGACTGCTGTCAGACTGGCCCCTGGGCTAGATATGCCCTTGGTGCAGGTCAGGGCTGCTTTGCTCTTACAGACACAAAGAGAATCAAAGACCTTAACACCTCATGATGAGGTAATAGAAATACTGAAAGGTGAAGGTTGGAGATCAGCAAAGCACTTCACACCAATCTAACAGCAACTGTATTCTGTTTTGTAGGACAAACACATACAGTGTAAGAAAAACAGAAAAGACAAAAATCAAAAGAAAGAACTGGCAGAGACTGCTGAGAAAACAATGCATGTGAAATTGAGTCCCGAATTACGGAACTAGGGACTGGAGCACAAGTGATTACAAGACCCTGCAAACACCCATTCACCAGTGCAGACAACTCAGGGCATTAGTAGAACATCACAGAACCACAAAATTGTTAGGGTTGAAAGGGACCTCTGGCGGTGATGCAATCCAATGCCCCTCCCAAGGCAGGGTCAACTAGAAATGCCTCTGAGGAATCAACATAAGCAGGATTTCCCCCTAGTATAGGCAAGGAGGAAAACTAGCACAAGCTTTCTAGGCTGAGGAACCTGGATGACCGACTTCCAGGTTTATCTCTATTTTCCCACCTTACAAAGCAATACCTGCTTCAGTACCACAAATGTCACTCGTGTGCTCCACAGGAAGGATGCTGTTCCACTGGTGGATGCCTTTGACTTCACAGACAAGAGCCTGAATTCCGCGCTCGGCAGTTACGACGGGCAGGTCTACCAGCGGCTTTACGAGTGGGCTCAGAAGTCACCTACCAACAAGGTATGGATGCAAACTTCCACACTAGCCAGGGCAGAAACTGTTTGCTTTCCTTCTAATAAAATCAATACAGATAAAAGAGCTTTTAATTCCTCGCACCTCACTCTGAACAGTGACCTGTGATACTCCGATCATGCCACCCACAATCTTGGCTCAGACATTTAAGCTAAAAATGAGTTACAGCCCCCAGAGTGTACCAGGGAGCTGGACTGACACATGCCACCCGTGTGGTTTTGGTTTTGAAACGAGGTAACTAACAGTGCACAAAATAAGCTGAAACAAAAGACTATTTACATGTTATGGAACAGCACTAAATTCAGGGTGTTTTCTATACACTGATACTTTTACTAGTGCAAAACTTGAGGTTTTAATAATATGTTTAACCAGAAAGACTATAAATGTTAAACAAGGCAATTTTATCCTTCATGGTCTTTAGCACTTCACTTTCTTTTCCTAATTCATCCATATTGTGGAGTAATGTAAATCTCTGCACGATGTAAATATGTGTTGCCGTGTTGGAAAAATTCATTTTGCCTTGAGTGAGATTTTTACTATGGTAATCAGCAGCCCTTTGAAATCCTACAGCTGAACACAAAATTTGCCTTCAGCAAACATTCAAGTCCAAGCACATTTTTTGAAGTTAAATAGTATGCTGTCCCATTTGGGATGAGTGTTGTGTGCTAGTATGTACTATAGGCAAAAAGATCTTGCACACAGTTGAAGTAGCTGGTGGTTTGTTGTTTGCTTTCTGTATTTCATAGATCATTCTGAAGAAAAAAATTATAGCCTTTGCCTCCTTAATTACCATTAATTCCCTTCCACATTCTCTTTCTGAACAGATGAGCCCAGCCTACGAGAGGTATTTGAAGCCACTTCTTCACAACACCCTATCGAAATTATGAAGACTCTGTTCCAAGTGAAGGGCACACATTTCCTCCTGTTCTTTGTGCAGCAGAACATTTATGAAGCATCAGTAATGACTAATCAGAATTAATAATCAGAATTAATAACTACTTGCAGTTACAACAAGTCTGAAAGATTCCCAGCCAGCCATGTGCATTTAATCAGACAGAAGCCAAGCAGCGCTGAGTGGTACCTGCTGCTGTGAGGCAATCTAGTCAGGAGAGGTCCTGGGGTCACTTTTCTAACCTCAAGTGTCCTGACAGCATCAAAACTTTGCCATTTGGCTTCCTCATTCTTTTTCTAAATCCACTACATGTCAGTTGAGGGGAAAAAACACCATTATGAACCCTCTCTCAGCGTGTTGTACCAATACAGTGCCTTCAAAAAAGCCCAAACTGACCAACTTTAGTGAAAAATCCAAGGAAGGTAAAATTATGATCCTTATTTTCTAGGAACAACTTGTTCTCTTTGATCAAAAAGTGTATTAGAAAGTACATCTGTTTGGACGATTAAAATAGCTCTTGACTCGCTCAGCAGTGGAGTGTTCTTGCCTAATAAAGACTCAGACAAAGCTGGTGCCAGCTCCAGTCTGCAGAATTTACCTTCCCATCAGTAGGGCTGCTCGCACTGTCTTTCTATAAATCTTGGGCTCCAAGAAAGTGTATTATTTGGAATACTGCTTCTCTAATTATTATACTTCATAATTATGGAAAGGGCAGGCTGATCCAGGCCAGCCATTAATTTGCTAGTAAATGAAGTGTTGCAAAGAACATCTTGTGATTATAATTCAATGCCAGTTAACACAGATATTTCTTACCACGTGTTGCGAGACAGAAACAACCACTTTTCCTGAGCTTCATCAGTTCTGCTTCTCTTCCCTCCTCAATAGGAAGAATAAAGCTCTTGCTGCCTCTTATTACACAAGTCAAAAACCTGCAATGTATGAATGAGGAGAGACAAAATATGACCGAGAAATACACCCCCAAGGCAGGCCCTTAGAGTGAGAGAGGGGATGGAAAGCTCCCACCTATGTGTGACAGGAACTTCATGGGAGAACAGGATCCACTCTGGAAAACAGATATCAACTCTCTTACTCCCAACAGCATTTGAGTTAGAGCATAACCAGAAGTTCTATTAATAACTATGACAAAGTGCCCAGGATAAGGAGAAATGTGTACATGAAATTGAGTAAAGCCACAGAACTTGAGTGCCTTGACTTGTGCAGCACCAGAAACAGCTCTCTGCAGCTGAAATTATAAAGTCACTAGATAAAGTGCTGATAACCAGATAAACACTACTGACTAGCTGCAAGTATTTAGAGGCTGTGTGCTCCCTCCATCCCTATCCCTTTAGCCAGCACAAATACTTAACAGCTCTCTATCAGGCTAATGCAGATTTCAGAACAAGAGCTTTGCCTATAATGAGGACAGTTGAATCAACTGATTAACGTGACAAGGGACAATCAGCAGTGGAGGAGAACAGGGCCCTAGCAGAGCACCTGAACTCCTCTGCAGCACAGAAAAACAGGGTTTGGGTGGGGCTGGGTTTGGCTTTTGAAGTATGAGAACTCCAGAAGACAAAAAGAAAATACAATACAGTATTCTGTATTTCACATATTTATTAGCTTTTTGCTGGCAGGCATTACACTTGGGAATAATATTGCACCAGGCGTTAAAAATATGAATTCTACCACAGGGACATTTTGCATTTAGAATCCAATATAAATATTTCTAATCATATTTCCATGGCTACAGATAATATTTGGTTGCTTGATTTATATGCATAGAAAGAAACAGTTGTCATAACTGTAAGAAACTGTACTTATCAAGTACTTTTAAAGGGTGGGATTTGTTTTCCTAGAATATTACAATACTGTTTATTGATTTAGAAACTAAATTAGTCTACACAATAGCAGCTTCTCCCCAACTGCAGTTTAAACTCTTTTTGTTTCTTGCTCCCAGTGTCATAACATTAGATGGATTAGAAATCATTTAAACAGAGGTAATTTTAGCACTTTGAGTCGAGTCAGAGAATTGTGTTAATGACACAAAATACCCTATTGTACTAATTCTTCGGACTCCCTCTTTCAAACAAAAAGGTGTCTTGACTGAACAGGCACATGCATGGCTGTTTTTCTGAACAGGACAAAAGAACAGAGCTGCTAGAGAACGAAACTCCTCCAGTCCTCACTGATAAACAATAAATAGTCGTATAAAAAAAGCCCACATTGTTGCTTTAGTCAAAATCCAGACACTCTTGGGTTTACTGTCCAATTAAGTTGCTAATCACTGAAGTGGCTCCTGTGGAGCCAGAATCAGTCATCTGTTTTCCGTGCCAGTCTACAGAAAGTCCAGTTATGCTCCACTGTGTTTTCGTTGGCACGTTCACTCATGTGATGAACTCTGGTGTTCCTGATCGTGAAGCCTTGTTTTGTGATGTACTCCATCAGATGGACTCGGAGCGACACTTCCTGGTGGTAATCACATGGCCCAAAAGTGAAGGAAACCTGACAGTCCCTAGTGTCCATCATGTGCTTATTCCACTTGGTGAAGTGGTTTGAAATGCCTTCCAGTAACGCGTGGACTTTCGTCGTGATGGTGAGCTGTGTGATGATCACAGCCACCGGGTTGGAGTACTTGGAAAGCTTCCTGGTGCTGGACAGCTCCACCACCTCCTCAAAGGTATCCACAGGATACAGAGGCTTGGGGTCATTAAGACACTGAATTAAGGGTTCGATCTGATAGAAGTCTGCTTCCTTCCGAAGTAGGTCGAACTCCTTGAAGTCCAGTGGCAAAGTGAGCTCTGAGGTCCTTAAAAAGTTAAGAACATAACGGAAAAGTGGTCCATCTCTGTCAATAAAGTAATTGCCCTGAGAGTCCCTGGCAGTGGGGAAGTCTCCCCTGAACATGGCCCCGAGCATTGAGTCAGGATATCTCGTTAGAGTTGTGAGGGAGGTCGTATACATGTGTCCACCCACATTTAGCGTGACTGGATCAGTCATCTAGAAAGAGAGAAATGGCAGAGTTTATCAAGCCACCACGAGAAGATTTGATCACCTCACTGACACACATGGCAAATACTGTAGGAAAACTGCAGACTCTGGAGAGAATCACACTTCTCCTAGTGGGAAGCCTTTAAGGGGTGGTTAAACCTGAACAAATCCAAGCCACCTAGCAACAAGGCACAACTGGCAACGAGGCAGGATGATACTTAACATGCAGCACACACATTTCCAGAATGCTTTAGAAATCTTAACAACTGAGCTACTGTCACAGAAACAAGTTTTGCATTTGGGCAACAAGTTTTTTTCCTATTCTATGGATGGGGAAATGAGAACAGAAAGATTTCCTGAAGAACAAGTTAGTCTAAACCAGGCCCATCAGTGTTCCTTACTTTCACAGTCTGTCCCCCATTCCAGAACAAACCCAAAAACAATCAAAAAAAAAAAAAAAAAAAAAGGAAAGAAAAAAAAGATCAGCCAAACAAGTCTTAAGCCTCTTTTTCTCCCTCCAAAGAGGATGACAGTGCAAGTTTAAACAACATAGGACCAAGAGCTCACCATCAAAATAATCCAGGCTCTGGTTCAGAGACATCATTAAAACAAGCAAAGAAAAAAAAGAACTTTCAGCTTTTAACTCTGAAAAGAAATATTTATTAACAAGTTGGCATGCTGTGTGGAAGAAGGGGGCAGAGCACAAACCACTCTGCATCAGCTTCCAGATAGCACATGAGGAAGCAAGAGAGAAAGGAACATAAATCCCATCTGGCCACCAAGCCTAACAACCAGGACTGTGGCCAGCCAGAGAAAAGAGACATATGCATGGCAGCAGAATGAGAAGGGGAGAAAAATAAGTTGTGTTTGTCTAGTTTGAGACAAGGTTTGCAAGGAAAAATAGTTTTCTTTATAAATAAAATGACAAAGTCCTTAAAATTATATGCAGGAAGGACAAACTTGTCTCAGCCTTTGCGTTAGGCAAACGGTAACAGTGAGCTCAAGGCAACAGTTCACTCCTGGCTGATTGCACCTAGGAAAGATGAGCCTGGGAGCTCCCCACTGACTGCACATGAGGTGCAGCACTGCACAGAAAGTAAGTGAGCTGTGGCACCATGTACAGTTTTCCTTCTCACATGACTGAAGCTCTGGATCGACACAAGGCAGACCTGGAAGGATTCTTGCTGCAGGGTCTCAAAAGGCCAGTTGTACCACACAGCACAGGCTCACTCACCATATATCCCCAGTCTCCATTATCCATCTGTTCAATTGCTTGAACCGTGGTATTCCAAGTTTAACAGAAGGCTGCTGAAAGGATACACGATTCACCTCCTCTTATCTTCCTGCAGGAAAAAGCACACACGAACACAGAACAAAACATGGCAGACCATCAGTACCTACAAGAACACCAAGGGGAATGCTTTCCCATCAAAGTCAGGCTCTCTGCCAGGAGAGCATTCAGCTACAATGCCACATTAGCAGGAGAACCTACAAGCCCTCATTTCCCTCCTCCCTGCACACTGCCCCCAGGACTGCCTCTGGAGCACATGGGTAATCACTCCACAGGCTGCCTGAACACCCCAGTGCTGTGGAATAACAAGCAATGTGCCTCTGAGGATAGTATACATTCACAAACTACCTTTCACCTGGGAAACTGTGAGTCCTTTGAAAGACAGATGTCATTTTCCCAATTAAAAAAGTTTATTTAGCCACCACTGAGGTCATACATGTGACCCGTTAGTATTAGTCAACATTCCCATGCTCCAGTTCCAAACTGCTCAGAAGAATAAATCAGGCATGAAAGTCAATGAACAGCAAGAAGAAAAAAACTGTCACTGTAGAATTAATAATTCAGAGGTGGAGAACTGCAACTGATAGCAAGAACATTAATCTACAGAGTATGAATGGACTTCACAGACACCTACTCCAGAAAGCAATCTCTGCAGGGACAAGCCAGAGAACATCCAACATGTTTTCAACACACTCCAACAAAAACAATTTGAGAAG